GAGAGAGAGAGAGAGAGAGAGAGAGAGAGAGAGAGAGAGAGAGCATGAAGCCCTGTGATCTAAATATAACGGCGAGGTAATGACTGATGGCCCCGCGGGGTGCCAACACAACACGCCGGTCTGACCGGGCGCCTGCCCTTGTTCAGGTCGCGGGGGTGAGGGGCCCCGCAGTAGGGGGAGGGGAGTGGGTGCCGTCAATGTTGACGCAGTGCAGGGGATGACGCCGTGGAGGCTAATGAGATTTCGCAACCAAAATTACCCCCTTCCACACCCCTGCTTCACCCCCTCCCCTTCCCGCCGTGATGTTTACCGTGCTCAAATCTGGAGCCCGGGGGGAGAGAGAGAGAGAGAGAGAGAGAGAGAGAGAGAGAGAGAGAGAGAGAGAGAGAGAGGGAGACAGAGAGAGTGGAAGAGGAGGAGGAGGAGGGGAGAGGGGGCACATGCTATTGATTTCTATTGTTCAAAGGGCTTCAAGGGCGATGGCGATGATACTCACCCGAGAGGAGAGTGTCCAAGGCTGGGGCCGAGGCTGGGGCCGGGGCTGTGCGGGTGGGCAGCGAGGCTGGGGATGTGTTGCTGCAGGAGCATCACAACCATTTGGGGTCGTTGGTCGCGCTCCTGCACACACACACACACACACACACATGCATGCGTCAGAATACGGAATATAAACTATTACAACAGTCTCAGGCTCATTAACTTAATTTTTCATACGCCAGCGCAGTTGTTTTTTTATTAAATTATGTCTATGGACATAAAATGTCCACATTTTTCCCAGGAAAAAAAAGTTATCGTCAAAAGTTAAAGTAATTAACAAAACGGCCTCCGTCGGCCATTGAATTCGTGCTGGTTTGGCAGTATGGGCAGTAGGAGGTGAGGAGAGCAAGGGTCAGTTTCGATTTCAGTTTGCAATAACGGGGGCTCGGCCTTCTCGCGAGTGGAGATGCTACTTAAGCCTCTTTATTTCCAAAGAACTTCGACACTGAAAAATAGTCGTAGGTCATTTACTGGAAAACTTTCCATGATTTTTGTCGTAAAATGAGAATTTAGAGTTGTAAATTTACCAGCACATTGTATCGAATTGGTATTATTGATCGAGAAGCAGCAAGAATGGGCTATGGGCTGTTGCAAATTTATAAATCAAAATTAAAAACCGTATGTGGTGGATAAATATTACAATAAAAATTACAACAAGCTATGTAAATTTACGACCTCTCACCTGATGCGCGCCGTCAAACCCCGCGGGCAGCGAGCGAGCGCCGCGCTGCCGAGTCCAGTTGCGGTGCCCGCCTGCAACAGAGAGAGAGGAGCAGTGCTGCATGAGAGAGAAAGAGCGAGAGGGGTGTTAGGGGAACAGAGACAGGGGGGGTACACGCCAGCCGTAATTTACTGCCCGGCCGGGGCGCGGCAATATCCCCGGGAGCCGTCGGGACGATGACGTCACACGCGCGATTGGCCGGCACTACGTTACATGACGTCACGATTGGTCACGATGACGCCACACGTGGGTGACGCGTGGCGGGCGCGATTGCACGCCGCCGCTGTCACATCCCAGCCGCCATCCATCGTCCCTCCACCAGGGGGGGCCTAGCAGCCCGGGGCTGCGCGACGCGTGTACCGGGTGGGGGGCGACCTGTGTCGTCTCATGTCCTATACACTTGTGCAGAATTCTCTTTGACCGTCAGCAATACTGTATAGGCCTTATACACTGTGAGGAATATCCTCGTAAATTCAGAACATTTGTGGTAATTTTTTTACTTTAAGGTGAGTTGTAAATTTACGACGGCCCGCATCCTTGCCTCGATTCTTGCTTGGCGATTAATTCCAATTCGATAATGACGTAACTTCACGACACATACGCCGTTTGTGCGTTGCGTCCGTCCCGAGGTCCGTCCGTGTCTGCTAGAGAGACTTCTCTCCAGTGCCTGCCCGCCGGCTGCTTCAGCCTGCGGTGCGCAGGGTAGGCCATCTGCTCAACAGGCCTGCCGGGCGGGTCTGCCTATCTGAAGCTCGCAAGGCGTGCGTAGCCCGTTCAGCCGCCAGGCGCCGGAGTTATTGCGGGTGTCAAACATGTATACTGTTTAAAACATCAAAGCAGGAGTGCCCTTCCGACAGGCGAAGTCCACAAGTAGACCTGAACTGGTGTATTTCTTAGGTATACTTTCGTTTTTATGCACCATGGATTACTGACTAATTTGTTACTCATTGTGTGCAATTTGTAGGCAGTAACTTTCTTATACACTGTTAAACTAAGTGTGCAACTGCTCAACACTTGCGAGTGTGCAACTGCAAGTTAAATACTTGCAAGTGTTAAGCTAGGTAGGTGTGCACTTGCAAAGTGTGCAACTCCTCGGTTGGACACTTCCTAGACAGTGAGCGTTACCGTTCAATCTAAGGAAGTGTTCAACCGAGGATTTGCACACTTGCAAGTGCACACGTACCGATTTGAACACTTGCAAAGTGTTCAACTTCGAAGTTGCACACTTGCAAGTATTCAAATTGAAGTTGCACACTCACACTTGCAAGTGTTTGGCAGTTCGCACATTTATCTGTGTAAAATTTTACACTGATTTATCTTAAGATAGAAGTTTGTCAGTAATTTAAAATGGAATTATATAGTATTATTGATAAAAAAAGGCGTCGTATTATTAAGAGATAAACATTTGTCATATAAAGATTTTAAATAACAGAAATTCTGCTGAATACGTAAAAACAAATCAGTAACGGGATCAGGATGAAACTGTTGGTAGCTGTAGGATTTTTCCAAGCTAGCTCAACTCCTTCTTCAGACATACATACAGTTACAAACACCAGATTGCTGAAACTCCCGGGATTTATTGCCTTTTCAATTCAAAACGGGAAGGCGGGCTTAAAAATCACGTGATACCAGCAGCGTGAAACGCACTCTGGATTCTGTTTTTTCTAGCGTTCTGTCCCGTACATGCTTCTTATTTTTTTTTTAGCTTTTTACCCCTACTAATTTGAAGAGTGCTGCCCTGGAGCTACCCGTGAGTTCCTTTTTCGTCCTTCCTCTAGTGTACGCCCGTCTCTGTTTTGCCCAAAGGAGGAGGCTTTACCCCCTTTTCTTTCTTTTTCCCCTTGCCGTAACCCCCACTCCTCTCTCTTTCCCCCTCCAAGTCGGTGTCGTGCTCTAAGTAAGCTGGAAGCAGGAGTGCAATCCGTCCTCCTCCTCCTCCTCCTCCTCCTCCTCCTCCTCCTCCTCCTCCTCCTCCTCCTCCTCCTCCTCCTCCTCCTCCTCCTCGTTTTTACTCGTTCTCCATGCCAGACTGCTTGACCAGACCAGACAACCACATTCCCCAGGGGTCGAGATGGCCTCGCACGGGCGGAGCGCAGGACTTTGGGGTGTACAGGTTGTGTTGGTGTCAGCGGGGTAGACCTCCGTGGAGCAGACCTTGACGTGGTGGCCCGCCTGCGCACGCACCTGCATGCGGAGACGTTCCCCTCTGCCTGTTTCTTAATTACCACCGTCGGCTCACAAGCGTTGGTTTAGGAATGGGAGGGGGGCACACTCAAAGTGAGGAAATGGCGCACGTCGTATGTTTTACTGTAATGCAGCCGCAGGGGGTGGTGCGAGAGCTGGGGCAGGAAGATGGAGAGAGAAAGCGAGGAGGAGGGGAGTGACAGTTGAATGAGAAAGAGGAAGAGAGAGAGAGAGAGATTGTGAATGAGTATGTGTGTGTGTTCTTGGGAGAGCAAGAGGTAGAACGTGTGGACTGTGGAGCAGAGTGTAGCCAGAAAAGTAGGCAAAATGCAGGAGACATGCGAGTGAGTGGAGTATAGTAGGGGCTGCATCTTCACCCGCATTTCGCCTGCTTTAATGACACACTGCTGGATTTATTTTCCAGAATGGCGGCTGATGTTTAGGACATAAAAAGCCGTCCGCGGAGGGGTTTCAAGCTTCCCCGAAACACGCGCTGTTTTCCATATAAAGTTATAACGTGACTTCTATACGGAATGTCTCTTTAGAAACTCCAACCGGCAGTTCTGAGGATGTTATATCGCGACGTTCACGTCCTCGCTTTGAAAAAAGTCATCTCGATCCTTAACTTTGACAGATCAGATCAGTAACGAGTTCCATTGGGATAACGAAAGTGCGAAAGTGTTATAAAGCACTTTTTTTTACGGTGGTACTGAATCTTGTCATATGCCTCTGCGCTAGTTCCTTTTCAGAGGTTCTCACTTATAATGCCAAAAACAGCACCTTTTCAGGCAGGCGCATTAGTGGCACTATTTCACTCTTTGAAATGCAATAGACAGCACCTTCTGTTTTCCCAGTGTCGTCAAACTCCATTTCCGGCGTTTCATTACATATACGGCGCGATGTTCTTCCGCAGGACCCGGTGGGTTGCTGCTCGAGTAATAATGAACAAGCAGCTCTCCCTCCTCCAGGGCCGGGGAGAGGGATTGCCTGCTGCCGTGGGCTTCCGTCCGCGGAGAAACTTGGTATAGGGAAAAGAGGAAGGGGAAGCACAAGCAGAGGCCCCGGCCTCAGGCCCCGGCACCCCACCGGAGGGCTGCTCTTCATACTTGTTTCCGACTTATCGGCTGGGCTTTGTTGCCTGCACTAGTAGTTGTTGACGTCCCCGTCACCCACCGGCCCTGGCTTTCTGAACCTCTCTCTCTCTCTCCGCCCAAGTTGCCCGCGCCCCGTCCCGCGGCACCCGCCGCCCCGTCCCCAAGCCTCGCGCCGTACCTCTCTCACCACGCCCCACCACGCTTCACCACACCCCATCACACCCCCACCCCACCAGCACGCCAGTCCCATTTCTTCTTTTCAGAAACTTTGAGGATGTACCCTGTCGTCGAGACGGCGGCTCCGAGCCTCTAAGAGCCGCCCCCAGGTGGGCAAAAGTGGACGGAATGGACAGCCATACGAGCGAAAGCGGCATTGAAAAAAGGGAATATAAATTGGCAAATGTTGATGACTGCAGTAAAACGTGTTGCTTTTATGCTTGTATGTGTACATGTTGGGCATTACATGTTGTGCCGTTCCTTACATATTTTTATGAAACTTTTGAATTTTGGTAATCGCAATAGTGTGGTTAAGTCGGGTTAAGTCTAGGTGCATTGCATTGGGATTTCCGTTAAGGCCCTTTTCGCACTTCGTTTAACAAGACAGAATAGATCACACACTTGAGATGATGTGTGGCTCGTGGGACGATGCGAGGGTCGGGAGAGGGGCTGGCTGCAGGCTGAGGTCATCCAACGGTTTCGGCGCCCCGTACCTGACCCATCTGGCTCTTCGAATGGCCACTTCGTGACACAATTCCTCGGGACGTGCTCGCTACCCCGAGGCGGGCCCGAGGCGGGCCGCGGGGGACACTAATGTGCACGGCCCGTCAGTCGGGTCACGCTCTGGTATTAATTTGCGATGCCCTAATATCTCTACCCCCCCCCCTCTTTCTCTCTCTCTCTCTCTGCTCACTATTTCACTCCTCCCCTCTCCTCTCTTTCTATCTCCTTCACTTTGTAAAGCAAATATTTAATTTTGAATAATGCGTGCTATCATGTGCTGTCTGATTTGACTTACACAGCCAAGTAATTTTGATATGAATTAACGTTGATTGATGTGAAAAACTAACATTGAATTGCTTTAAAACCTCTCGTTTTTTCGAAGCGATATGAGGACTTGAACTGTATGATGACATTTCGAGGTGTTAATTTATCACATATGTATTTTCTTCTGCCCAAATTGGCAGTGTAAAGCGAAGGAGCTCATTTTTTATGTACACCACGGTACACCAGAAGATACGCGTGTATTTTATTTTGTGTGTGTGGGAGAGCTCTCATGTATAGGGGGAGAGAGAAGCCTTCAATCAGTGTAAAGTAATAGAAAAGCGGAGCAGAGGGGCGAGGGTTCGCGAGGCTGCGAAAGTTTGTCCGACGGGCGGGAGGTGAGCACAAACTTTTAAAACGAGACGCGAATGGAGTTGATTGAACTACTGTAATACCCGAGAAATAGCATGGGAGGCAGGGGTGGGGCTGGGTCGGGTGGGTGTATGGAGGCAACGCCTGCTCTGGAAGGGTTTGAGACAAGTGTAGGGGGAAAGGGAGGGTGCGGGATGGGGCCCGAGGTGGGAGCGGTCTTACGGCCGAGTGAATCTCGATGGCCAAGTTGGGATTAAGGGGCTCGTGTAATAAGGCCAACTACTTGTCCAGCGAAACATGCGCCACAGCAACTCTGCACTTTACTCTCAGTGTACGAGAGGGGGGGG